AATGTGAATGGTGATTTTGGTCAATTTATTGGGGGTGTCTAGGGCCCAGGGCCCCTTCTTTGTTCACCGCCGCCCCCCCCCCCCCCCTCCCCCAATCCTTCCCCACAAAGAGACAAAAACAATCCATATATCTACATCATTGCAGAAATACAGTATTATGATGTCTGAAATTGTTCTCCTTGTTGATTGCACCTTCAAATAATTAAACAACATTGCCCTATAGCTTGCACTTCATCTAGGAGGAGGTACATGTTTTGGAAATTCTGTCATCTAAAGCTAATATGTACTTAAGTTTAAGAGAAGAGTCAATCACTATTCACCGGTTAAGTATTATGTAGTCCGTATTTGAGAGAAGAGACCAAAATTCGAATCTCGGTAACGGTAGCGTTATGATTATGTTCAAAGTGGACAGATCCATTGTGGGCAGTGGGCACCGATATTTGCCCATGTCTGCTAAGTCATTTAGTCATTGATTTACATTCTCCTAGATGTTCTGTCGGACCCTCCATAGTTCCAAGTTCAACTCGACTCCTTGTAGGAGTTAGTCTTCTCGGTTTGAATCGGCGAGTTATGGACAACTTAGATTGATTTATTTTTTTGTGATCCTTTGCTGATTAGGATCACAAAGCAAGTTTAACCCAAAGTGCTACTTTAAGTAACGATTATGCAGTGAACTTTTTGTAAATCAAAAGTAGCTTTTATTGGCTTTCCAATAAGAATGTCAATAATAGATACTTAAATTCAAAATAAGCTACTGAAAATTTAGCTATTTCCATCTAATAAAAAAAAAAAAAAATTGGACAAAAATTTAGGATTTACAAAAAGAAAAAACATTTCGAATCACTGTGGGTAGTTTATTAATTGCTGCCATCCAACAAAAATGATAGGTTTTCTCGTAGACAGCAAGAAACCATATATTAATGGTTGCTCGCACAAACAAAAAACCGATTCAATCAACCAAATAAAAAATCATTCATTGGCTTCTCATTTTCTTCAATGGCAATATCAATATGGTTGCTAAAAAAATTTTTGGACGATCATGGCTTATTTTAAAAAATAATAATAAATCATTTTGACCACCAATGCAAGGGTCAAAATTAGGGAAACATATGCTTGACACTTGACAGTGAGGCCACCAAAATTTTCAACCATCATACAAAGTGGTTAGAATTTTTGGCCACTTTCAACCTTTGATTGATAATAGTAATAAAAATTTTCAGATTTTTAAAATTGGTATGGTGGTCAAGAAAGACAAAAAATTTTACCGGGGAAAAATTTTATTCTAAAAGATTAATTACTCCATAGTAAAATAGGTTAGGTGAGAGAACCCTTCAAACTTAAGTAATACCCCGTATTTCACATTCTCTTGTGATAACAATGTATGACCGTATCAAATTTACTATTTAATGAAGGAAATATATATATATATATATATATATATATATATATATATATATATATATATATATATATATATATATATATCTCAATAGATATCGTTAAATTGATAGGAGTGTTTATTTTATTTACAATAAAAAATAATATATTTTATTTAAAAAGTATTACACGTATCATGTAAAACATTTACATCGATGACCAACTCCAGCTTCATTGAATTGTATGTTCCCTAGATAAAAATGATAGAACGTCTGAAATTGTTTGGCTCATACAAACACAAAATTGTTTAATCAATGTCGCGCTACAAGAAATCTCGCTATTTCTGTCCAACAGAAATTCATCGAGCATATGGCTAGTTCACAATAAATAAGTTAATAAGAAGAGAAAAATGATCTAAGAGAGAGCGAAAAGAGCTAAGAGCTCAGCATCATTTATCACTCCTCCAAAAGCCTCATTGCCTCATTGGCATTGTAACAATCTTTGAGTCTTTCAATAACATCGTATTGGTTTAATCCACGGCTTATCATAGCAAATAAAACATAAATTTAATTCTGAGAGCGATCTATTGACCTTGGAATAAGGTTCAAATTGACCACTGAACGTAACCTGAAAATGCAATTAGGCCACTGAACGAAAAAAAGTGCAATTAGACCACTGAACACTCTAAAAACGTGCAATTAAGCCACTGAACTCTCCAAACGTATGCAATTTCACCGGATAGCAGGTTACCATCAATTTTAGCAGGTTACTTGCTTACGTGGCAGTTGAGTTGGCATTTTTAATAATTTTTAATAATTAATTTTAATAATAAATTTTATAAAAAATTGAAAAAAAATAAATAATAAATAAAATAAAGTCGTTTTTATTTTTTAAAAATTTTTTTAAATAAAAATTTATTATTAAAATTTATTAAAAAATATTTAAAATTTATTAAAAATGACAACTCAGCTGCCACGTAAGCAGATAACCTGCTAAAATTGAGGGTAACCTGCTGTCAGGTGAAATTGCACATTTTTGGAGTGTTCAGTGGCCTAATTGCACATTTTTTTCGTTCAGTGGCCTAATTGCATTTTCAAGTTACGTTCAGTGGCCAATTTGAACCTTATTCCATTGACCTTTATAGTTTGAGCCGGTTAAAGACTTAACTAGGTTGGTAATTTACCTCCTTATAGTCCTTTGCCGATTAAGATTTCAAGGTAGAAGTTACGCAGTGCAGCATACTTTAATTTTAATAAATGTGAGTTTCTCTTGTCATTCAAAAAAATAATATTAATAAAACATAAATTGAGCAAGACACTAAACAAATAAAAAGAGACTTTTAAATAGACAAAAAAACTCATTTTTTTAATATTCGAGACCTTGCATAAAAGTTTCGTTTTTAGAAAGTTTTGTCGTGACCAAATAATTACACCTCACCCATCAGTCACATGGCAAAGAAACTCAAACACCACAAGTCTCTCGCTTGGTATAAGTTTTTTTTTTTTTTTTTTTTTTTTTCCTGATAAACTTTAGAATGTGGCATTTAAATTGGCAGCAAAAACTTGCACTCTACGTTGCTAGCAGATATTAATGCGTTCATGCAACTTTGATGGGCAGAAAAATTCACATCTGCTACTTGAATGTGTACTTTGAGTGATGTTCGCATTGTGACTTAATCGGTAAAAGACTACAAAAAAATAAATCAGTTTAAACGGTTCATAGCTGATCGATTCTAACTAAAAAGGTCAATATGCATATTCACACTTAAAAATCTTGTAATTACCAAATTAACTATTACTTAACCAACTCGATTGGAATTGTTTCCCATCGTTTACGTAGCTAAGTAGCTAGGAAGATGCTTGGAAAATGGGCTGCGGGCTTCAACCGTTAAATTATAGTAGGCATCCTTAGCTCACGTCAACATCTTGACAAAGAAAGCAAACTGAATTAAGGGAAGTTCGTTCTTATTTAATTTTTTGATATATGGCAAGCTTCACACACCATATCAACTTGGCACAACTACCCATTATACGTGTGGCACACATAGCTCATTCTTGGAACAAAACTCAATTGATTAATCAATTTAAAAAAAGTTAATAACTTAGTTTCATTGGTAAGCATAGTTTGATTCCTATTAAGGAGGTATGGAATTGACTTGCTATAAAAATTAGTGTACAAAAATTTTGAAAAATTAGAACCTATCTTGCGATTTATCTTCCTTATCAATGCTCTAGGGCACAAGCAGTGAAGACCCTCAAAATTAAGGTATAGTCTATTTTTCACATTGCTCATCTAGCCTCTAGAGCACAACTCAACTAATCAGTTGATCTAAAGAAATTGATAACTTAGCTTCATTATATTGGTAACCATGGGTGCAAAGTTTGATTCCTACTATAAAAACTGATGTACATGCAATGCATTTTGAAAAATGGGTACACTATTAAGACACATCCCACAGTTTACTTTCTCTATCAAGACTCTAGCACACAAACAATGAAGACCCTCGAAGTTATAGTACAATCATATTTTTATCATGGTTGAAAAAATCGCTAGGCGCTCCTCGAATGCTTGTGTATTTTTTATTTTTTATTTTATTTTTTAAAGATATATTAGTTTTTTTAAAATTTGTTAAGACTAATAATTATAAACTATTTAATACTTTAATAGTTAATACTAAAATATTAAATATTAACTAAAACATCTAGAGTTTGAACAATTTAGGGTTATTTCGCTCAAAACGATGTTGTTTTGAGTTAAATAACCCCTTTTTTATTTAATTAAAAAAAAAAAAACAACTAATCGCCGACTAGGCGGCCTTGTCGCTACCTAGGAGGCCTAGGCGGTGCTTAGGCGGCCTAGTAAGCCACCTAGACCACTGATTATAGTGATACGCTAGGCGAGCAAAATTTTTGCAACACTGATTTTTATATCACTCATCTAAATTGAATCAATTAATAATATACTCCATAATTCTCAAGAGTAAAAGACTTTTTAATTTCGAGGGAAAATTATGTTGTGGAACCATGTCCACCTTGCAAGGTGGATACGGTTCCAAAACGGCGTCGTTTTGGTGGAAAACGACGCCGTGTCCATTAAAAAAATTTGTTTTCTTTCGCCGTTAACGGCTTTTGTCTTTAAAAGTCTATGTTCATAATTACTGAACTCTATGTTCATAATTTTTTAACTTCATATACACAATTATTAACCTCTATATTCACAATTATAGAACTTTATGATCATAATTTTTGAACTCTATATTCATAATTCTTGAACTTTATATTCACAACTGCAGAACTCTATATTCACAGTTACGTAACAGTATATTCACAATTTTTTATGTCGTTGAATTTTTGTGGCAATTTTTTAAAAAAAAATCGTTACTCCCGAATTACAGAACGGTGTCGTATTGGACACGTATCCACCTTGTAAGGTGGACATGGGTCCATGGCATAACAACTCAATTTCGAGGCAATCTTTGAAAACCTTCTAGAAGCTATCTTGATTATACTTGATGGGCTCTATCTTGTACATGGAAAAGTCATCATATGGCATCATTGGCATGTAATGGTCCATAAACTAAGCCCAATTTTGAGTAATAGTATAAAAATAAAATATAAAAAATAAAACAAAGAAAATTAGAAGATGTGGTAGGATTAATGAAACAACAACCGAGTATTTGAAGCAAATATGTTACTCGTACTATGAAGAAGCTCCTCAGAAAAAATGGCATAATATATACCAAGTGAAGAACTAACGGAATAACTGCCTACCTCAAAACAGTCGAACAAAATGAATGCCTAAAACTAACTGAATTTACAGAAGAATATATAAAATGAAGGTTTGTCTGTGTAAAGAATTCCACCATTTCAATCTCTTCTCTGAAGGCCCAATGATCCATCTATCAATCAGTAATTCAACATCGAGTACTTCAAGCGTAGCACGATTTTACCTTTGTCGACCCCAAGCTTAGCGCCCGTCACCAACCAATGCCCCGGTGTGTCCTGTGGGCCCCTCGACATCTCTGTCATGTCCACGATCTTCGCCAATTTCCCCATTTGGCTGGAGCTCTCGCCTTTCTTGTCTGCAGATTTCTCGTTTGAAGTGGATGATGTGGAAGAGCCATGGGGTCTCTGTGTGGCACAAGGGTTATTAGCGGGATTGTGATCCCACACGGATCGCCTTATTGTACACCCCGGGACCTTGGAGAAGAGGAGCTTCAGGTGCAACACGCTCTTAGCACCGAAATCCCAAACACCGAGCTGAGCCCCGGTCACAATGTGAACACCCGAGAGGTCCCCGATGGATGTTTCCGTGTGCTCTATTGGCGCAGTGCTTACGTGGGAGAAATTCTTCCACTTTATCGGTTCAAACCATCGACTGTCTTGCTCTTCGGGACCTTGCCACTTGGGTGCGCCTATCGCCATGTGGGAATCCCAGTGAGGTTGAAGAATTTTAGGAAGAGAAACGAGATGCTGCAAATGGATAGCGAGACGGTTCTGCTTGCAGCCTTCTAGGCTGAGTCTCAGCCCCGTGACTGGCTTTCGCCCAACTGTTACCTGCAATATTCATTATAATCATGGCGAGTTATTAATTTTGAGCATATAATATATATAAACATAAATGTGCAATCCAACTATTAGCTTAGCCTTTTAGTTAAGATGAGCACATGCTTCAATCAGAGCCATGCCAAAGGTGAGACTATGGTGGAGCCCATCAAAAGTAATCGGCTCGCACACGTGAGGGGCGTGTTAAGCATATAATATATAATCATAAATGTGCAATCCAACTCTCAGCTTAGGTTTTTAGTTAAGATGCATCACATGCTTCAATCGAGCCATGCCAAAGGTGAGACTATGGTAGAGCCCATCAAAAGTAATTGGCTCGCACACGTGAGGGGGCGTGTTGAGCATACAATATATATAAACATAAATGTGCAATCTAACTATTATTAGCTTAGGCTTTTAGTTAAGATGAAGCACATGCTTCAATCAGAGCCATGCCAAAGGTGAGACTATGGTGGAGTCCATCAAAAGTAATCGGCTCGCACGTGAGAGGGGGCGTGTTGAGTATATAATATATATAAACATAAATGTGCAATCCAACTATCAGCTTAGGCTCTTAGTTGAGATAGAGCACATGCTTCAATTATTAAAATTCAATTTCGCAATCTCTTACATATCCTGCAGCAGTTAAATTAGATTGCGAGACCTGATCTGGACTGTCATACCTGATCTGGACTTATATGAAGTTTCGGACCCATCAAGCTGAACTGAAGAGTTGGGCAGACAGGCTCCTTTCGTTGGAGGTTATTCTGCTCTGGGGCCCATACTCGAGAAATTTGGAAGTCTAAGAAATACTGCAAGTCCTCTATCGGTGGCTTGTCTGATGAAATTAAAGACAAAGCATCTCGTCATAAGCGTATTTGAGACTTTGAACATTAAATGTGACTTTTCCCTTGCAAAGGATATGAGAATATGGGCATAGGTCGATAAAGTTATCCACTAGTACCGGCATTATAACCTTATAAATGTATTATATGAATGGTTTATGTTGCTGGTTCTTTACAGGTACACGAATATTGAATTGAAAACAGGAATATCCACCAATATATGCATATGCATACACCTTACCTCAAAGACAGAGAATAAGGAATGACAGATAGGTATAAATAGAAAAAAAAAAAAATTGCAAATCAATTAATTGAAAAGGTCGATAAATACTTACATTCCAAGTATAACTCAATTGCACGAGTCAGGTACTTTATCCCGGGAACCTCTTCCAGCAACGAAACAATGGGCGTAAACGTCATATTGATTACATCTGGTGTTGTTTCTACCGTCTTTGCCCACTTGTCATGACTCTGCTCGAGATCATCGCCTCCTCTTCTTCGGAAAATAACCGTAACATCCTGCAGCAGAAAATTTACATGGCTTTCAATGCACTAAAATTTTCGATTTCAAAAAAAAATAAAAAATGAAGCATATTCCAGATCCAAAAGATTAACGAATTAAGCAAGTGACTTAACTATGTCCTGATGTATAAAGAGTAAAATACGTTAAAAACGAACTTTAAACTAACCTTATCCTTGTATTTCAAGGGACCAGAACCTGGGAGGCTTTTTGAATCCGAGAATCTCTGATCTCCTATGTCCTTCACATAGTTCTCAATGTCAGACACTAACAGAGGAGACGACTGATGCTGTTTAATATAAACCACATCCCTTCCACCGATTGTTGCAGAGGTGACAATATGGGTTCCAAAATTTTCAATAAAACTGAAAAAAAAAAAAGAATTTCAAGTCAGAGCCTCAGAGGGCAAGAAAATGTTTTCTTATTACAGGGCGTTTGGTTGGAGAGGGGGAATTACGTGGAAAAGGAATTGCAATTCCATGGGAGATGAATTACTGGGAATAAAGTGGGAATTTAAATTCCAGTGTTTGGTTTACAGGAATAGAATTACTGGAAATTTCAATTCCAATGTTTGGTATACATGGGAATTGAAAGGGAATAAGTAGTATAAAGTCAAAAATGTCCATTGTTGTTGTTAGGCATTAATTTTAGGTTAAAAAAGGAAGGGATAATTTTGATTCATCACTATCTTTTTTTCTTCCTAAAATCCCAGGGGGGGACATGGGATTTTAATTCCATGAAAATGGGGGAATTGCAATTCCATGGAATTACAATTCCTTTCAACCAAACAAGGGAATTTTGTGGCCTTTGGAATTAGATGGGAATTAAGTGGGAAGGGAATTTAAATTCCCTTCAACCAAACGTCCTGTTAAGGTTTTCTCCACTTTCTTGGTTTTATAGCACAACATAGGAAGACATATAGCAAGCTGCACCCTAAAGACAGCAGATTCACGTATTTCATGCATTTACGTTTTAATATCCAAATGTCGGGTGCTATTATAAATACTTCACCTTGCCAAGGACGCCGGATCCCAAGAATAGGGAACAGCACGTTTGATTTCATCACGCAAAACTAAAGACTCCGAATCTGCTAGTTTGACAGTGAAGAGCGGAATGATGTATCCAATCATGGCAAGAGACTTGGTAGCTGCAGCATCGAGTTTCCAACACCCAGTAAAGTTAAACATCGCATTAAAGCTTCCTAGCGGAATCTGACCAGGTATATTAGACATGTCATTGAAGTATTTAGCCATCTGCAAATTCAGTTACCCAGGGGGTTCTGTTAGATCTCTTAACCAATAACCAGTAGAGTAGCTTTATATCAAATCACAGATTCCTATGAAAGAATGTTAGCGACTTGGGTTAAAAGCCGAATCAAGCAAGTGAAAAAATAGAAATAAGAAAAATACAATCATACATATATCTAAACAGGTCCAAAGTTTATAATGATGAAGGAGAACTCCTAAGTTATAAACGAAAATGGAAAGAATCAAAGAAAGCTCATTTTGTATTGTTTTCTTGACAATGCTCAAACCATCCGGAACCAAACAAGCTCTGATACCATAACCACACTAAAAGACTGAATCTAATCAATTAGGGCCATATGTTTCTCTCTTATTTTTAAATGTGGACTCTTAATAGTCACAAAATTCCCTGGAAAGGATATTTGGATGAGAGAGGAAAGGAAAAGATGAACTCCTTTTTTTTCATTTTGAGAAGATGAAGGTGATAACAATGAAGGAGCTCTAAGGCTGCTGAAATTTGGGTTCTATTTCTCTCCCTTAAAATGGAGCCTTATGCTATTAAATTAAACTAGAGGGAAATTTTTATGCTAATAATCTTATCCAACATGAGATTTAAAAGCAAATGATGGGCATCGCTGCAAATTAAAGAACTTAATTCAAGCCCAAAAAAATCAGAAAGAAATGAAATTTATCTTCAACACTGATGAACCCAGAATGGGAAAACATTGCAATCACGATCTAATTAAAATACGGAGAAGAAAAAAGAAAAACCCAAAGCCGGGAGAGAAGAAATTCAAACCAATAAAACGGTTGGATTTCAGACCTCATGGAAGCTATAAACAGGAGTGGCCTCAGTGGTTCTGTTCCCAGTGGAGCACTCAATATCAGAGGAGACATTAGGGATCACAACCCCAGAAAAAAGATGGAGAGTTTTGGTGCGTTGTTCATCGAGATGAAGCAGGCGAGACCCAGGAGCGCCCTTGCAGTACAAGAGCCTGATATCGGAGGTGACATCGAATCCTCTGCCCAGAGCTTGGATTGAGTTGCAGAGAGTAGTAATCAAGTTCTCCATCAATGAATCAATCAGGAACCCAAATCTGAATCAATTGCTTCCACCTAATAGTGCTGCTGCAGCTTCTTCATTTGGGAATCTGGATTTTTTGAAGGTTTTTTGAGAGGGGAGTTAGTCAGCGGTTGGACTTTAGACTTGGAGTTGCTTGGCTGGGCTGTTTGTTCAATGCAAAGCTTTTGACTGTAATAATGGCAAGAAACGCGTTGTCTTGTTTGGGGATCGGTGATGATGATGCTGACTAGTCTTTTCTTTTTCTTTTTTTCCTTTTTCATTTCTCAAATTTAATAAACTCAAATCTATACATCTAACTTTCAATTTAAATTATCACCAATTTGATTCTTATCAACACGTCGATAAAGTTTGTAACATAGGATCTTCGTAATATAATTTATTCATAGGATCTTCGTAATATAATTTATTTAGGTTACCTTCCTTTTGAGTGAGATTTATCCAATACACGCTCTCAATTCAAGATTATCTCGGTTGAACCTGTCTTACCGTGTCTTTTTAGTGTTAGGATCTTCGTAATATAATTTATTTAGGTTACCTTCCTTTTGAGTGAGATTTATCCAATACACGCTCTCAATTCAAGATTATCTAAGTTTGTAACATAGGATCTTCGTAATATAATACCTTCCTTTTGAGTGATTATCTAAGTTTGTAACATAGGATCTTCGTAATATAATACCTTCCTTTTGAGTGAGATTTATCCAATACACGCTCTCAATTCAAGATTATCTCGGTTGAACCTGTCTTACCGTGTCTTTTTAGTGTTAGGATCTTCGTAATATAATTTAGGTTACCTTCCTTTTGAGTGAGATTTATCCAATACACGCTATCGTAGTATCTGTTCATATACTTTCTCAACCTGCTGAAACACAAAGAACCAATAACGCCTCCACTGAGGCTCGAACTCATAATCTTCCAAATGGAAGTCCAACCCGGGTACCATTAGACCACATAGTCCTGGAAGTGTTGTTTATTTCTCTATTTTACATAGTACACACCTTTAAATAATAACGAGCTAATAACCAAAATCGTTCATCAACTATGTCATAATTCACAAATTAGTCCTTAACTATCAACTTTATCAAATTAAGTCATCAACTATTTAATTATTATTACTCAATAAGGTCTTCAACTATTCAATTCTTATTCAATAAAATCCTTCATTGAGTAAGAATTCAGTAATTAAGGATTTTATTGAGTAAGAATTAAATAATTGAAAACTTATTTGATAAAATTGATAATTGAGGATTAATTTTTAAATTATGGCATAGTCAATATACGATTCTGATTATTAATTCAATAACCGGCGGTTTTGCTCGTGACCCATAAAAAAGAATTTGAAGACTTTGTATGTATTCTCTTTATTATTCTATCAAATACAAATTATACAATTATATTTCAAAGTATAGTTAGTTGTCTTCTATTTTTAAATAAATTTTTGATAACATTTTCTAATTAATACTGCATACTCATTTATAGTCAAAGGTTATACTATTATTTTTGGTATTTATCACATTTGCATTTATGATCTTTAAATTTTAATTTATGATATTTTAATTTTATGCCTCTCAGCAACATTTCGTGTTTAATTTTAAATATATAAAATATTTTCACTTTTTGAAAATTTCATAAAATCGTGCCTTACTGTATTTAAAGATACGGAGTATTTGACATTTTTTTAAAAAATTGAATATTCAAGTGTTGATAATTAAAATCAGAACAAATTAAAATTGAAACTTAAAAAAGAAAATGTCATTATAGTCCAAGGCAAAAAAATGGAATAAATTCACATGACTATTGTTGTGATTCAAAATATGCTTTTTTTCCCCTCAACACTTTATAGTTAACAAAATCTTTTAGTTGTTGAGAAGTTTGAAAATTGAAATCTTGGACTTTTTTTTTTTTTTTTTTTTTTTTTTTTTTTTTTTTTTACATGGACACCATTGTTGGAAAAAAGGGGAAAGAGATGGTTGAATAAATTGACTTACTTTATACTTTTATAACTCATTTTAAATTTCATCATTTTTAAATTCTTGCTTTGAAATTCTTTTACGTCATTTTGCGTCCTTATAGAGTATCAACCATATAACTATAAAACTAATTTAAACTTGAGCTAGCAAGCCTGACCGCGAGATCTCATAAGAGTTGGATCAAGTTCGACAAACCCCTACAATATATTTTGGAAGCATTCCATTCAATGAAGATTTGACCACGACTCATAAGAGAAGGATCATTCCTAGTGAACACTAGGCACCGGATTTCCCCTTCCTCTGTATCCAAAAATACTCGAGCATCTAACTTTTTGCATTATGTTTGTAATTCATTAATGACTAGTCCAGACTAGAGTTTATATATATATATATATATATATATATATATATATATATATATATATATTTCATGCCAAATAAGTATATACCACCTATATACCTATGGTACACCAAATCTTGCCCGTCATAAATACAAAATTTAATATTTGACCAAGTCCTCATTTGTAAATTAAACAATCTATTATCTCTCCAAAACTATTATATTTACTTACTAAAAACAAATGATAATTAATAAAACAAAACAAAACAAAATAACTGCAGTATTATTAGCATGTAGTATATAGATAAAAAGGATCCTGGCTAGAAGGAGGATGAAGAAGGGACATCTCCTGTTCTTGCATTAGATGACTGCAAAAAACTATGGCTCTCACTTGACCTAAACTGCATTTCATCGTACTTTTCTCGGAGTGATTGAAAATGGAGGTCATCACCATACATAGTTGCATCCGAGCTAAGATCATTAACATCTGCCTCACCTTCAAGCATGCGGACCACTGCAGACATGGTTGGCCTTAGCGCGGGCGATGGATTAGTGCATACCAGTGCCACTTTGATCATTCTGATTGCTTCTTCTTTGTTGAAATCTGATCCCAACTGGGAATCTACAAGCTCCAGCAGAGACCCTTTCTTTTGCACGACGAGGGCCTGGAAAATAAGCACGATGAGAGTGGAAGAAGGCGATGGCCGGGTTCGAGTAAGCTAAGCAGATGTGCAGAAAATGGTGTAAAGAGTGATCAGTTCTCACCCAGTCAAGTAGGCAAACATAACTCTCATTGGGCCGAAACTTCATGTTGTTTTTCCCAGCAACTATTTCTAGCGCCACAATGCCAAAACTGTACACGTCTACTTTGTAGGTTAAGTAGCCCCATAATGCATATTCGGGCGCCATGTATCCCCTGCAAGAGGAAGAAGAGATTACTGTCATATAATAAGCAGGTTGCAGTATAAAGCTAAGATATATAAGGGGCAACAGAGCTAAGTTGGTCGGGTTGTTAGTTACTTAGTTTGGTAATCATAAGGTTCCAAGTCTGACCCAAGTGGGAGCGGCCTATTAGCCTTCTTAGTTTGAGCTGGTCAGCTATGAACACTCTAGACTGCATTGCCTTCTTGTGGTCCTTTACCAGTTAAGATCACAAGGCGGGGTTTACCCATTGCACACTCTCAGGTAGTGACTGCAGGTTTCCCTAGTCACCCAAAACAAAGCTAAGATATATAATGGAATTATGGCCATATACCAAGATCCCATAACAGTGAACATTAGAAGTCTTCACTGGAGAAAAGATTGGGTTATGAAGAAGAAAAGGCCATTTCAGCTCACATTGTTCCAGCGACTCTACTGCTGATATGGGTGTTGTCCTCTTCATCAAGTTTGGCCAAACCAAAGTCCGAAATTTTTGGATTGAGGTTTTTGTCAAGAAGTACATTAGCAGCTTTGATGTCCCTATGAACAATTTTTAGAGCTGACTCCTCGTGCAGGAAAGCTAAACCTTTAGCTATGCCAACGCAAATTCTTTGCCTAGTTGGCCAGTCTATTTGCAGTCGTGATTCTTGAGAACCTGTAAGAAATTGTGAAAGTGAAATGCCTGAAAATGGGTTCAAGAGTATATCCTTCCAACCCCAAGTTTTCTATTTTAAGGAGACAAAAAATGAAGAAAACAGGTCGTTATTTCCCCTTTACAGTATGCAACTATTAACGGAAACAATAACAAAGGTGATTTACCAAATAGAGCTCGGGCAAGGCTGTTGTTCTCCACGTACTCGTATACGAGTAAAAGTTGATTTCCTTCTATACAGCATCCATGGAGTCTCACCACATTTGGGTGTTGCAAACCAGAGATCATGCCAACTTCGTTCACAAATTCACGGTTTCCTTGCTTCGACTTGGATGAAAGCTGCTTAACAGCAATTATGGTACCATCTAGTAGTGTGCCCTGTTTATTACACAAGAAAACAAAAGGCGGTAAGAGCATTTGTGTATGAATCCATCACTCTCAGCAGTCAAATAATCGGGGCACAAAGAAACAGAAAAGGAAGTATATAGGAAAATTACAAAAAATTCGAATTCTAATGTACCTTGTAAACCGCTCCAAAACCACCTTCTCCAAGTTTATTTGCAGCACTAAAGTTATCAGTGGCTGCTTTAATTTGTCTGAAGGTGAAGAAGCCAGTCTTAAGATCAAGTCCAATTAGTTCTGTTCAAAAACTTTAAAACATCACTTCCCGTTCAAAACAGAACTAAAATATCAGTTGTAGAAAAGGATACTCACACCTTCAACCGAAATTCTCGTGCTATAGCACGTTCAATATATGAACGAAATCATCACTTGATTTATTTCAACATTTTATGTATATCCATGACATAGTATGTATGACACAAGTATATATGATCTGTGTAAAATATAGATATATAGGGCATTTGTGGGCACCACCTTGTTCCTTTGAAATTCTGCTTTTTAAGTATCTTTTTCTCCAAGCAATACCAAGAACTATGAGAATGGCAACTAATGAAGCTGCCACAGAAACAGCTATAGTGAGAGTCTTCTTTTTGTGATTTGGAGGGTCAAAATCTGTAGCAGAAGAACAAGTTCAATGGTGTAAGATGTCATTTCTTTTCCCGCAATGAATCTCAAAAATGAAGCTTCAATAAATTTCGATAAGAGAGAGACAGAGAGATAACTATATCAGAGAAAGAACCAAGTCTCAGAATAATAATGTTACCGGATTTCACAGAGATAGCTGATACTAAAGAACCATAGGTTCCTCTGACTGGGGCTGCTGTTGTTCCTTTCCCCGTATAGTAAAAGCGCACCTCTAGAGTTTTGTCTGTGACAGTTGCGTTAAATTTCAGTTTTATGGGTGTATCGACTCCTTGAGCTGCACTTTTAATATCAAAGTCCTTTAAGACTCGTAAACCCTGTAAGCATTTCGACAACTTGAGTATATTGCATAAACATTCAATGACTTATTTAATTCTGTACACTATAAAACTTCACCTGGATATAAACATCAAAGAACCGTCTTCCTAGACTTTCGAATGATCTATTATCTCTTATAGTGATTTCCGCAAAGCGGAGAGTGATGGTATAGTTTCCATTTGCTAAGCAGCGTCCAAAATAAGTCAAAGACAAAGGAGAAACGCGAGCCATTGTGTAAAGTTCAGCTTCATTTCCTTTGATAACAGATACATTACTTGCTGTATAGTCATAAATGGTACGGTCTATATCCCAAAGGTTTCCAGTACTACTGGTAACCCAATTCTCGTATACGTGGGCAAATTTTGTAGAACCTGCTGAGTCTTGATCATCATCATAAGTAGTCTCTCCAACCACAACTTTGGGACCACCACAATTTATATGGAAATTATACCAATCTGCAGAAAGGTCAAACAACACTAAATTGTGTCTCTGCAATGAAGCATACTAATTCGAAACGTTGCAAAATAAACAATATGTTTGTTTCTAATTTCAAATTTTTGAACGAAAGAAAAAAGGCACTGGCTGATAATTCATCTATCGTTCTTTGAAGGACAATGGCCTGGAATGCATGGTACTTACCCTTTGAGCAAGGACTCAAGCACTTCTCTCTGCATGGAATTAGAAAATATAGTGAGAACCAGACAAAACCGAAAAGAGAGAAAAGTAATCTCTATTCCATTGATTCCACAGAACGAAGTTAAATCTTACGCATGGTTCCACTCGCTGAAGGTTTTGAACACGTTGCTAACAACAGAATAAAAGGGTCATTAGGAATATATTTTTCTACATTAACCGACTGAAAAGAAGAATATGCATGTAAAGTCCGGGCCTTACAAGGTGTCACGACAAGTTGATGGGACAGAGCTCTCGCTGAAGTTATTGTAAGAAATGTCAATTTGTCTGCAAATGAAACCTTTAGGTGTTTACATCTACTTAGAGGATGCCTTGAGACACAAAAGAAATTAGCAAAAAGATGCTTAATAACATACGTTCTGGGGTCTCGATTTTGTATCCATACTGGGACAGGCCCAGTCAAAGAATTGTTTGTTAGTAACCTAGCAGAATGGACATCATTTTATTTGGTAAGAATTGGATATTCTAATATTCTATATAGAATTTCAAGCAGGACGGACATGAATGAAGAGAATCAAGTATGAAAAGATGAACAAGCAACCAAGAACGAAACTTTCTGATAAACCAAAAGTGGTCCTTACTGATTTGGTACTCACATCACTTCCATATTATACAGATCAAAACTCGGGATTTCACCTTCCAGATTGTTGAAACTCAGATCCCTGTGGAAAGGAAAAAATGCATCTTAGCCAAACAATAATTTCTTTTGTATCAGTGATAATCTATATATATAGAAAATAAAAGGAGAAACAAAAACAACTAGAAATGGTAGAATTACAGATTACGCAATGGTGTCATACTGCCCACATAATCTGGTATCTTCCCAATTAAATTGCAGCTTCTCAACATCCTACAACAACAAATCATTTCCTCTGAGATTATGGAAGCTGTAAACATTAATATATTGTTTAAGGAAGTAAGGAGTGTTACTTACAACTTAGCCAGACTCGTCATGTTTATTACCATAGGAAACTCAGAGTCTCCTCCATTTAAGTAAGAGATTCTTCTGCAGAGCCATTTTATAAAGATCAATAAGCATGATCAGTGCATATCATAGTATAATAGACCATGCTAACATTACAAGGATTTGAAGTTCCTTTGAAAGCATTTACTCACAGTTCGGTTAAATTGGTCAATACAGAAATGCTTGAAGGTATCGGTCCTTCAAAACCACTTGCTTCAATCTCCCTGCAGATCATTCACCAATCAAACAGAAGTTACATCTAAAAGTCTCAGTTCATTGAAGTAGAAAATGACAAAATGTTGGTGGAAAGGCTTACACGCTTTGAAGGTTTGTCCAAGCCTGAAAGCTAGGCAATTTCCCAGTGAAGTTATTTCGGCTCAACCTACTATATTGGTGACACTTAAATCAAAACAACTGAAGAAGTTTGGTCTCTAAAACGGAAAATTAGGACAGATGAACGTACATTTCAGTCAAACTGGTCATATTATTCAATTCTATCGGAAGGTCACCAGTGAGATTGTTTGCAGAAAGAATGCTGCAATCAACCAAAAAAAACACAGAATGACAAAAGAAACTGAGAATATGAACACCAAATTTGACTAATTGAGGCACGTAGAAAAATCTTAATGATTGAAAGTCCATACAATCTCTCTAAATTGACAAGATTCCCGAGTTCCCGTGGAACAGTTCCATTAAACATGTTATTCTCCAAACTCCTGAAAAAGTCATCAAATTTCATATCACATACAAGAGATTCCCCAAAGAATTCAAAGTAAAGATACAATATATGAATCTGCAAGGACTAAGAGCAACGGAAAGTACAGTCTTCTTAGTGTGGTTATATTTCCCAAATATGTTGGAATTGGTCCAGATAATCGATTGATAGCGACACTCCTGCAAAACCACATTTGGATAACATTGTTTACTGTTTAGGAAAAAAAAGGTTTACATTTGTTTCATAGGTAAAAAGAGGTGCAACTCACATGATTTGAAGTTTGATAGATGCCCATTCAGGAGGGATTGTCCCGCTTAAATAGTTGCGTGTAAGATCACTGCAGGAAACGAAAATATATTGATCAAACAAACCAAAAACCACAATCTGATTTTAGTAAAGACGAGGACAAAATCCAACTAGAGCAGGAAAATCTCAGTACATCTTCTTGAGGAATGGTAACTTCGCCAAGGAAGGAGGAAGGACACCTGCTAAATCCTGAGCTGTAAGTGATCTGTTTAGCGTTTACATAAAAAAGAAACGATAAGAGTTCGATAGATAATCAGGCAAAACAATGTACTTCAATGTGCCATCATTATTTGAGTAAACCACTTGTCATTGTACAAAAACAAAAGGAAAGAAGGAACCTAACATGTTTTCAACATGACAGAAACCATCAGAATATTTGCAATTGCAATGAACAGAATTTTGATAGATTGGCCAGTCATCCTGTGCTGGGGTATTCCAGCTTGGGTCCCCGTCGCAAGGATTCAGCCTCAAATTCCAGCCCTTTTTCCCCAGCTGATCAGCTATTTCACTAAGAGCTTTCCCTGAAATTTCCAAATTAATCAAGACAAAATTCTCAGTAAAAATAAACTCCAATGGCTTTTAAACCTAACTTGATCCTTTTAAATACACACAGGTTCTTAACACATTCTCGAATGACATCAAAAAATGAAGGCTGCTTATTTGGTTCAGTCATCATTGATGCATTAAATTCTAAGCAAACTTCTTAATCAATCGCAGTGCCCTCCCAGCAAAACCAAAAAAAAAAAAAAAAAAAATGCGAATAAGGAGCAAATAAAGCTTTTTTACTTTCAGAATCTGGAAGAGGAAGAGCTGGGGTTTGAGCTGGAATGGCGATAGGCTTGAAGCAGAGCAGCAAGACGATGAAGACGAGCATGGTATTCGAGCTGAGAAATGCAGTGAACACCTGTAAAGAGTTTGTACGGGTGAACAAATGGACAGCGAATGGATGATGAAGATGAAGAAGACTATAATGATTACTTCAGACTACCGAAATGGAAAATGTCGTTTCGTGGAAGAAAAATTCCAACGTAATATACACAACAAGTCAACACGCATAGCAGACATGAGTACAGTGTACAGTTGAGAAACTCCATGGATTTCTATGAAAGCCATAGCCAACTTAACAACAAATATGCAGTCTCAAAAAACAAATATGCAGCCTTATACTCGAGGAAAGGGGCGGGGAGGGGTGCGGGCGGAATGAGTGATCATAGTGCATTGGAGTTGTCTATATAATAAACTTTTTTTTTAATAACGTGAAAAATTTGTCGTTTAAAGGTGTATATTGATTAAATATCTCCTTGTAACATAATTGACAAAGGATCACGATCAGGTCCTAGATGCCCGTAGCCGTTTGACCAAGTTGTTGTCAATGGTATTTAAGAAAAATTGCATTTTTCATCTCTAAGTTATAAAATAACTGTAGAATTCGTCCATAAGTGTTAATCGTGCTCACTTTTCGCCTCTAATCTATCATTAGCATTGCATTTTTTATTTTTATATTAACTTTTTATGTTCACTCTTCGTCCCTAAGCTATACTGAAGTTGTAAATTTCATCGCTAATGTTTTGTTAGTAAAGGGACGAAAAGTGCAACGCTAAGATAGCTTAAAGACGAAAAGTGAGCATGAACAACAATTAGAGACAAATTTTACAATTATCATATAATTTATGTATAAAAAAGTATAATTTTTTCTGATATTTAATTCTTATATCCGTACAATTTATTTTTTATGTGGTATACTGACTATTAAAAAAAAAAACAAAAAACAAAAAAAAAAAAACAGATTTTCGTCGTCATACAACAAATATTCTTGTAACATGATTGACGGTCACGTCCAACGACATGTCTGACCTTGAAGGAAAACTGGAAAAGTCAACATCCATTCAATATTAAAATGATAAATGTATTTTTTTGGGAACAATGATAAATGTATTTTCATAAAATAAAGTTCTCTTTATATATTTAAATTTTATTGAAGAAATAAATTTTAAGAATTCAAATATTGTGATTTATATGCCTTTTGAATTAATTATAACAGGACACATCGAGAGAGCGTGTAGTAAACAAAAAAATTCAAATTTGTCTAAAAATTTAAAATATGAGAAATTATTCTTACATTTAATGCAATTTAAAACTTATAAATGTTTAGGTCAATGACAATCACATTCCTGACCTACTAAAATATCAAGTAAAGTAAATTTCACATAAGAAGGGTGAGATTTTTTTTCCTGACCTACAAAGAATTTACCAACTTTATTCAATTACATATTTATCCTTTTTTTTTTCATGTTAAAAATCTCTTATAAATATAAGAAATTTGACACTCCACCAGTATACATTCTTTAGCAAAATATCTAGGTACGTAGTTAAATTACTGCATATATTATATTTGTATATGCATTACGTGTATATATTCCTATGTATATTGATAAGTGTTTATTTATCTATATTTTCCCACTTTCACTAAGGCTGTGTTTGAAAATTCGAAAAATGATTTCTGGAAGTCATTTTCCGAGTTTTTGGTGTTTGGCTACACTTGGAAAATTCAGTGAACGGAAAATATTTTCCGTTGACTGGGGAAAATGTGCTCAATTTGGCGGAAAATGACTTCCGCCAATTTGGCGGAAGTCATTTTCCACCTTTTTTTTTCCTGGCGGAACTGGTTTCCGCCGGAAACCATAGCTATGGTCCAGATTTTTTTTTTAAATTTTTTTTTTTTTAGTTTTAAACATTTTTAAAATGTATTTTTTATTCTAAATAAAATATTTATTTATACTATTCTACTCATTTTTCAGAAAATGAATCAAACACACCAAAGCAGTTTTCCAAACACTGGAAAAGGAAAATGTCTTTCGGAAAATGACTCATTTTCCAGAAGTCATTTTTCTGCTTTCCAAACGGACCCTAAGTCATTTTGCTTACAGATCATTTCAAATTTCATGAGATTATGACTAAATTGTGTTATTTTGCAAGGAGTTTGGTTTGAAAAGCATTGTAAGCAAAAATGAATATTTTCATGCATTGTGGTGGACATTGGAGTCAAATGGAGCGTTTTGGATGCATTAAAAGTCCATGGGAGCCAAGGAAAGCTAAGAGGATGGCTAAAACACTTCCAAGGGAGCCTAACAGTGGTGTATTCAATGATTTTGGACTTTTGGTCACTTGGGCAAACCAAAACAAAAGATAGAGATGACAATTAAACCCGTCCCCGATGGGGAACACCGATCCCCGCCCCGACGGGGACGGGTTCGGGGAATTTTTTCGGGTAACGGGGGCGGGGATGGGGACGGGGACGGGGAGGGCATTCCTCGCCCCAAACCCGACCCCGATCCCCGTTCCCCGTATAATATATATATATATATATATATATATATATATATATATATATATATATAATATTAATCAAAAATAAAAACCCTCATTTCCCAAGTAAGTAATCACAGTATGCATTAGTGTATTTAGTAATTAGTAAGTATTTGTACAACATATATATAGGCGGACACTAATCACAGTACGTATGGATTAGTATTTAGCATTTGGTAAGTGACCAAAATAGGAAGCATTGAGAATCAGTTCTCTTATTTATTTCACATCAAATTTAATTATTTACACAACATATATACAGGCAAGTTAATGATTAATTGTATTTTGTATTTAGTACCGTGAGAGTGTGAGAGAATGAGTTTATTAATTAACCTGATTTGTTTATGTGTTTTGTTTATGTGATTTGTTTAAAGATTGAATGCTTACCAATTTAAAATTTGATAATACCATAATATATATTTTTTTTCTATTGGCATAATTCAAAAAACGGGGCGGGGATTCCCCGTCCCCGAAAAATCCCTGCGGGGACGGGGATGGGGAATAATTCTCCATCCCCGCCGGGGAACGGGGCGGTGACGGGGAATGGGGATCTATTTCGGGGTCGGGGATGGGGACCCCATTCCCCGCCCCCGCCCCGCCCCGTTGCCATCCCTAACAAAAGAGGGGCAAAAGATCAAGACATTACAATTTTCGCTCATTTCGACCACTGTTTGGTAATTTGACCATATCTCGGCCTAGGAATGTCCAAATGAAGTGATTCTTGTGCCATTAGAAAGTCAACTTAAAGGGATACAACTTTTTTGAAGACCACAAGGGCCAATAAAATGGGTTTGGGGATGAAAAATAGCCTAGAAGTTAAGATAGGTGCACATAATTCTGCTTGCAGGAGACATGGCCGAGGGCACGGCCACGGACATGGCCGTGCCAACCTAAGGCAGTGTGCACTGCCTTTTTGGACACGGCTAGTGACATGGTCATGTCCCTGGCCGTGTCACCTGTGCTCTGCATTATTTATGCGTGATTTTATCCATTTTCAACTCGGTTTTGGACCTGGTTCCAACCCTAGACACTCTCATTCACTTCTTTTCATGTTTTAGGTTAGATTAGGCTTAGATTTAGGTTCTATAACATTTTGAAAGCTTGTAATCTCGGATTTGAAGCTTGGATTTCAACATTTCAATATTGTTCTTCCTCAATATACAAGTTATCATGCCTTTTATCTCTTTCTTTTGCAAGATTTATGCTTATTACTTGTGTTTTTGTGTTCTTTATGCTATTTATTCTTGAGTAGTTAGTTTTTGGACTTGAGTTAGGGTTGTATTTTCTATCTTGATGCTTGATTTGTGATTATTGCAAAAAGGGGAAGAACTCTAACCTAGGGTTCTTGAGTTTATAAATGATTTGTGTTTGTATATTGTTAATGCTTGGTGTACAATATTCATTAGCATGTTTTGGAGGATTCTTGGCCTCAATGAGAGTTGGGTCAAGATTTCAAGCCACTCCTTGCATAAACCCAATTTCTTCCTACGAAAATAGGAAAAATTGGGGGCTTTGATGTTTTGTGTGCTTGAAGAACTTGAAATTGATACACCATGAGAGTGGGGCAATTCCTTGTTCTAATTCTTGTTGATTGATTACGAGAGTGGTTAATAGACTAGGATACCTATGTGCATTCCCGGTTGACTCTTTGTTATTTGTTCTCCCTAATTCATATGTTGTTGAAGCATCTAGATGATAATGCTCCTTAGCTTGAGTTCAATTTCTTTATTTTGTGTTTATATCTTACCGTAGCCTTAAAAGTTGTTATGAATTGTTTAGCTTCTTGTTAATTTCCTTATGCTAGTGTCTAATTCCTTGTGATTGCATATTGTGTGCCATAACCCCCAATCTCCTGAGGACGACATTTCACATCCGTACACTCACCATCACTCATTTTTGCTACAATTATATATATATATATATATAATACGATTCAAATGCAGATGGTGTGTTCAGGTGTGAACATGGGGTGAGATGAGAGTCATTGATCTTGCCAAGATCAACGTCTAGGATTAACAAGGATTAAAAAAAAATGCGTTGGCAATTTGGTCGTTTTGTATCTATGTCAAATTTAAGGTGTGTGGTTTTCCTTCTTAAGATGCGTCGTTTTTGTGCTTAAGATGCGTGGTTTTTGTGTTGTGTGCTTACGGTTGTCAGTCTAAAGCTTTAGGTGCGTGGTTTTCCTTCTTAAGGTGCGTGGTTTGTGTGCTTAAGTTGCGTCAGCCTAAAGTTTTAGTTGCGTGATTTTCCTTCTTAAGGTGCGTTGTTTTCCTTCTTAAGGTGCTTTGTTTTCCTTCTTAAGGTGCTTTGTATTCCTTTTAAGGTGCGTTATTTTCCTTCTTAAGGTGCATCATTTTTTTCAATTTTGGTTCCCAAGTTCAAAATGGTTTGATCCAGGTTTTGCTGATTTCAATTATCTAATTTAAAAGGAAAAAAATGATAGCAATATAATACAAAGTAACAAATAGTGGAGTTGTTATCTTTGAAGTAAATCTGAAGAGGATGGATGCATTAATTGAGGACGCACATTTTTTTGTTTTTTAAATTTTCATTGATTTGAGTTGTTGATCTATATTCAACGGCTCAGTTCTAACTCATTCATTATATTCAACGCATTATTATTATTATTATTATTATTATTATTATTATTATTATTA